TAATGTGACAAAATTAATAATTTATTAGAAAAAATTCTTAGTGCCATCTGTCATCCAGTAATGATTTCAAAGACAAGATTTCAGAAAAGAGACAATAAAGAAAAATAAATGAAGAGACTTTAATAACTGTAAGCCCTGGTTAAGCCAAGTAGCCATTTTAGCATTCTGGGCAAGCCTCCTTGCTGGTCTTCTAAGACCATCTATCTCTGTAATGGAGTTTTAACATATTTTAGTTTTATTATTCTCCCAACATAGCTCCAAAGTATATTTATTCTCTGAATTATTTCCTTTTTAAGCTGGAACGATAACACTGCGGTAGGGTGTTTGCCTTGCACGTAGCCAACATGGCCAACCCAAGTTCAATTCCTCCGCCCCTCTCGGAGAACCCGACAAGCTACCGACAGTATCTCGCCCGCACGGCAGAGCCTGGCAAGCTCCCCGTGACGTATTTGATACGCCAAACACAGTAACAACAAAGTCTCCAATGGAGATGTTACTAGACCCGCTCGAGCAAACGATGAACAACGGGAGGACAGTGACAGTGACTCCAATTTACTTTTACTTACATTGACCCTACCTATAAATTAGTCCTTCGAAGAAAAAGGAACATACTCTAAATCTCTTTAATGAAAATGTTCTCTGCATAAATATATTCTATATATTCTAAATATACTATTTACAGTAAAGTAACTCTTCTAGATAGTCATTGTTTTTAAACTACAACAATTAATGAAAAAAGCCATCTATCCTTTAGACTTTAATGCATACAGTATAAAGCAGAATTTTCACTTGTTAATGAATATGGATTGTCTGTTCTTAAGTTACAGAAATTGATTTTATTCTCTGCTCTCATCTTTTATCAGAATATAAAAATTCTATAGCAAAAACAGTGCAGTTCTTGATAATCTAAAAGAAGAAAATTGCTCTGTAATACCAGTCAGAGAAACTGATAGAATCTTTGAGAGAAAAGCATGAGATATTTTTCAGTTTTGTTCTTTATGAAAAAGAAAACCACTGACCAAAAGACTTTACATAATAATCTGGACTTCAGATTTTTTCAAGGAAGCATTAGTGAACTTGAAATAAAAAAATATATAGGCTATTCCCTTGGAAAAAAAGTTCACTATAAAAATCTTCTAAATGTTCTTACTAGTGCTAGTATTAATTTCCTTTATAACTGGCACACATTTTTATTTAGAAAAATGTTCCTATTTACAAAGACATATATTTTTGAAATTTTTTAAATATATATGTTTATATACAAGTGTGACATATGCAAGTTTGACTATATTAGCAATTCTGTTCATAATATAGCTATATTACTCTAAAAATGTTAGCATATACTTTTTTTTTTTGCTTTTTGGGTCACACCCGGCGATGCTCAGGGGTCACTCCTGGCTCATGCACTCAGGAATCACTCCTGGCGGTGCTCGGGGGACCATATGGGATGCTGGGAATTGAACCTGTGTCGGCCATGTTGGCTGCATGCAAGGCAAACGCCCTTCCCGCTGTGCTATCGCTCCAGCCCCAAGCATATACTTTTAATGGCTTTACTATAATTTAAGCCAAACTAAATTATCTTTAGTTATTTAATCCTCTCATTTGTTTATCAAATAATATGATAATATTTATGATGGTCTCCATTATAAATATTTTCATTATAAATACCATATTTAATAAATAACAAATCACACATGATTATTTCCTTAAATTATTTCTGGTAGTTAATACATTACATGCACACCAGAGATTTTCAAATTAATAAGAAAAATCATATTAGTCACAATTTGACTTTTTAAGATAGGGATAAAATAATCTAGTGTATAAAACACAGCAGCTTACCTTGAGCAAAAAGAACAGGGTGAATTTTGAACCCTCCTCCATTTTTCAACCTTTGAGGCAGTTGTTCAAAATGATAACTATCTAGGTAGAAGTAAACTTTCAGAGCTTGCCGGCTTCCTTCGGCTTGATATGTTAGAGGAACATCTAAAATAACATTTACGGTGAAAATTAATGTCTAACAAGGATACTGAAAATTGCAACCAACAATACATTAAAAGTACACAGTATAACAAGTTCAGTTTAGGTATGCTTACAGTGCTACTCAGTAAAAGAACATTAAATCAGACTCGCACTAACTAAAGTAACAGATTTATTATTGCATTGTATATATAATTCTGTAAAAGGAACTCCATTACACTTTGACACGCCAGATGTCTTATTTAACTAAATGAGAAGTTGCGCTACACATGGTTTAAAGCCCAAATCTCCCACGGCAGCTGTCTCATTCATATTTTAGTCAGAATGAGTCCTTGAGGTACTCTTCTTAAGTAGTATGTGCACAACGATTACCAAAATTAGTTTGGGTTTGCAAACTCATCCCAGAGAACCAGATCAAAAATTCATTACCTTTGTTGATACCCAACAGTCATAAGAAATTATATGTCTAAGTTCTTTTAGCTACTTTGAAACATTCTAAATTAGATTAAAACAACAACAATCAACTGCAAAAGCAATATGATATAGAAGCATTTCAAAGAGCTGCCATAATACTCTTCATATTATTATACTACTTATCCATGATTATCTACCTCATGAGAAAGTAATGCAAAATTTTTCTTGAGATCTAAAAAACCCCACATAAGTTGATTTAAAAGGTCAACTTACAGTAGGCATATTTATAATAATAACTCAATATTTATTATTTTTAACCTGCTCCTTGAAAAATGTTTACATAAAATTAGCATTTTAGTTTAAACACCAATAATAGCTAGAGAGATTACAGGCTTATATTAAATGTGTCTAACTTCTCATTACAGAATAAGGTATATTTCATCCACAGCTCTATTGTGTCACATAATCTTTTTTTTAATTTTATCTTATTTTTCAATTTTTAAAGAAAATGAAAGAAGTTTGGCTTTGAAAAGATAATAAAGCTCTCCCTTGAAGGGTTGAAATTAATTGTATTTTAATGAAAGATAAAATTCTATTTTCTTGGTTCTAAACAAAAAAAATGCAAGGGCACTAAAAAAAAATCAGGCATCAGATATTTTCTATTAATTATTTGTTTTTCCTACTTCCTCTTACACGGTCTTGCATATTTTTTTTTCAGTTCCACTTCATGATGCTTGGCATCAATGTAGCCAATCTGTTACCAAATGGATAATGTCACTTAAAAAGCATAAAGCAGTTTGTTTCATATTATGCAGTAGCAAAAGGTCTTTCAAAATATATGTAAAAAATGCAAAATGTGGAGATAAAAATTCTTGTTTTTGTGAAAATGTATATACCATGAAAAATAAACACAATAATTGCGATTCTATAATAGGTAAAATAATTCAAAATAATTACTGCACGATGAAAAGTCGCTGAATAGAGATTTACACTGGAGAATTTCAAGGATGTCATTCCTGTAAACACAACACTCCATCACTGAACAGAAGCCTGGGTTTGGAAAGAAACCTTTTACTTAAGAATTTGTTAGTTCCCTAGGTGTGAAGAGATACTCCAGTGGGGAGGGGTCTTGCCTGGCACCCTTATGGTCCTGAGAGTCCAGGAGGAGTGATCTCTAAGTACAGAGTCAGGAGTAAGCCCTGAGGTCCCTGGGTGTGGCCCCAAACAAAACAAAACAACAAATAAGAAATGTGTTAGCTCCTGTAGACTGCATAGCTCTTCCTTGGACATCTGGAGGACTGGAGCATCCTGACACTTCAGATCTCAGCTTCCGAATTATTTCCGCAGAAATCTCTTCTCATGTGACCCCTTAAAAGAACACCTGACAGGCCTTTTGCATCAGCTTAAATTTTGCACAAGATTTATCTAATTATCTGTGTAGATGATGCCTTGTTTTCTGCCTACTAGGCTACCATTTCCAAGAAAACAGAAAAATGCCTGTTCTATTTACCATAATGTTCACTTCCAGAATAATGTCTGACCCCGAGAGAAAGCATGAGGGCTTGAAATATTCTGTCTCCTAAGTATTAAATACTGTGAAAGTACTTGTATCACTGTTGAAAAAGAAAAGTTCTACTGTCATTCTGTCATTATAATGACCTTCTCCAAAAACATGAAGAAGCTCCACCAAATAAATTGAATTATAGCAATCTAAACCTATTCATTCCTCCATTAACTGCGTTAATACACCATGTATAATATGACATGAATATCTTGTACCTTCTCCATCTTGAGGTGAGTGTAAAATGGTGCATTTATTCATTTGTATCCTCACTAATCACTAAATTGCACGACACTAGGGAATTTGTTTTATTTAGTCAATATTATAAAGAACTTAGTCTAAAGCATCTAGCATATATATACACATTTATTTTTTATAATTTCTAGAAAAATATCTTCAATCCAGATATTTGAATCCTAACTGCTTATCATGTCACTTTTCCCCAGAATCTTCTTTAATATAAAAATGAGAGTGAGTAACTCTCCATATAGCTTTAATAAATCACACCGAGTAATACAGTGATGACAACAGAGTCAGAGGTTTACTCATAGTCTGTTTCAGTCCATGCCCACAAAAAGGATGGATTCAACGCAGCAAAACAGCCTCTTCCTAGGTAAGCCTGATCCTGTCATTCCTCTGCCCAGGGGCAGGATTGGAGAGTCCTTCTTTTCATCAGTCTGCACTCTGGCCTCTTTGTTCCCCTCACTCACTCAACTGGATGCCCAGATTGCTGTTGCTCTCTTAGTAGCCTGCCATCTAGGCCCCCACCTCAGTCTTATTGTCCAACAATCTTTACCACCATCCTCTGCTCAGTACATCTCATTCTCCCAGGCCTTGACTGCCCTTCCCTTCTTAGGAAGTTCTCTCTTCTGAGCTGGTTAACTCTTGCAATCCTCCACCTACTGAATCTTCATCTTGTACTCCATTTAGTTTCCAAAATGATGTTCTATTATCAAGTCAACTCCTTTATCTTTTTTACTCCGTGCCATAGAATAATATGCTAAGTATTGTTTAAATAGCAATTTTATAGCAAGCATATTGTACTACCATGGTAATCAATAAACCAAATCTTGACCACAAATCTTGAGCAAAAAAAATCGTTGCATACACACACACACACACAGTTAAATTCCACAAGGTGGAGAGATAATATAGTGGGTATGATGTTTGCCTTTTAGACAGTTGACCCAGGTTCAATTTCCAGCATCCATATGAACCATATGGTACCCTAAGTTCATAAGAAGTGATTTCTGAGCACAGAGCATAGAGGAAGCCCTGAGCAACACCAGACATAGGAGAGAAGCTGACTCTGGTTCAATCCCTGGTGACACAAGTCTCAGAGCATCACTGAGTATTGCCCTGGAGTTCTGAGCACATCAGGATGGCCCAGTTAACCCGTGGCCCCACAGAGTCTGAGCAGCAGTTCACCTCCAGACTCCAGCGTTTAACTGCTGTGTCAGTTGGCCAAGAACCATTAGGAGAAGCCCCTCGCCTCCTGAGCACTGCCTCAGAGCTTTGAGCAACTACTGCCCCCAGCCCCTGGGAAAAATTTAAAAAAAAGTTTAAGTCCAGAGAGAAATAACTCAAAAGTGGTGAAGCACACTCCTAGCATGCGCAGATCTTAAGTGGGATCCCTGGGATGGCACAGCTACCCACGCACTTTCCAGGTCCAGGAGCGCAGCTTCAGGCTGCTACTAACTGGCAGGGCGTGACAGGGCGGGTGCCAGATCAGGACTACCCAGGAGATTCTTAGAGAACACAAATGGGCAAATTTTAAAGTAACACACGCACTCTGTAATTTCTACAGTTGTTTATTTTACCTGAAACGTAAATATGTTATTCATGTAAACTGCATATTAAGTATATTAATACCAAAGTTTTACCATGTTGTTTGCCAACAATAAAAACAATTGAACAAAACATCTATGAAACTTTTAACTACTTACTAGCAACCAGTGGTTCTTCTTCTGATGGCTTAAAGTAAAAAGAAACCTTTTCCAAATCAAATAGTGCAACCAGTGTATCTTCTAGCATGGCCTGTTCATCTGTCTAGATAAACAAATATATAAACCTAGCATCAATATATGGGAGAAAACACACAATAAAACAAAACAGAGTAGAATTATAACACAGCCAGACCAAAAATAATTTCATTATTTAAATAAAACACAGCATCAACACTTACCTACAAATGTAATTCTTAAACAGTAAACCCATCGAAGTCACAAGTTTCTTTTATAATTTCCTTTTTCCTACTGTTTAAGTGACTCTAGGCAACATTTTAGTTTATTTTGTAGTTTAATTGTACTGAATTCTGTCTATACAAATATATACATAGAAAAATTTCTACAATGCTATAATTTCATTACAATTGAAAAGCAAAAGTATTTTTTTTAGACTTACAAATCTTTGTGCTTGGGTTTCAGTTATACAATGATCGAGTACCCATCCCTTCACCCGTGCCCATTCTCCACCATCACTAATCCCAATATCCTTCCCCCCCACCCCCCATCTCACCCTGCCTCTGTGGCAGGGCACTCTTTTTGTTCTCTCTCTCCTTTTGGGTGCTGTGGTTTGCAAAAGAGGAACTGAGTCGCAATCATGTTCGGTCTATAAAAACCTTGGTTAGATGCCACGAAGTAGGTGGCAGTGCCTTAACTGTATGCGTGTTGCAGGCCGAAGCCTCTTCCATCCTTGTCAAGGAGTGTGCTAACCTTCTCTCCTTTCATACAACACGAAAAGCAAAAGTATTTTTGATGTAAATTTTAATTGTCATTCTACTTTGCAATAAGATAATCTATGCATTAGCCAATTTGCAATTTATTAGAACTGTGATAAAAGCAATTTTTATGTGTGTAATGACTTCTCATACCAGGAGCTTGGGGACAGGAATAATTTTCACCTCACTTGTTTTTATGAGTCCTTAATCTAGCATCCTGTGAATAAGAAATCCAATTTGTTTTAATCATTTGTCCTCTTATTACAGAATTTTATTTAGAGCTGGGGCAAGTAAGGCCCAGATGTGATAACAAGTTCAGTGCAAGTCTCAGCAATATCATTTTCCTTGTATTAGATTCTGACCTGCCTAAGAGCAGTTTGAAACACTATAATATACCATCTTTAACCAATTTAATCATAAAAGAATAATCAGCTTTACCATGCATAGCTTATCTTTTAAAAGCTAAATTAGAGGGAATATTCATTTTCTTATGAACGTTAATGATAATTTTAATGTGCTTTACATACATTTTAGAAAGCTGCTATGTGTAAGCTGATCTGTTTTGATAGGTTTAGTAGAGGCTGGAGGAAGAATAAAATAATTATTTTATTATGTAAAAAGAATCACTAAAACAGTGAAGATTCACAAAAAGGCAGCATAAAAACTAAAAGGCTGAGAATTTGTCATGTTGGCACTTAGGTTCCTTATAGACTATGCAGTGGGTACTATTTGTTAAAGGAATGCCTATTATACTATCGTTTTGTAAAAGTCCTTTGAAGCAGCAGGAAAATGCATTGAACCTGGAGTTAGGAGAACAGGATTGAAAAATCTACATTTTTCTGGCTGAGGGAAAAATGAACGGAAAGAAATGTCGCCAACAGGTTGACCTCTGATGACTAGATGCTCCAGCAGGTGTGGATAAGTCCAAATGAGCCCTTACTGTAGGGTCAAGTAGATCACAGAGCCTGCAGCTCTCAAAGCTCATTTGACCCTTCCCCAGGACATCTGGGTGCTCTTACTACAAAAGCAGGAATACCTTTTTTTCTGAGCAGCCAATTCTTTTATTAAATTTAAGGGTGACACATGACCAATTAAAAAATAACATTCTTGAGATAAAATTCATATACTTTTAGAAGTACCTATAAAGTATGACATGGGGCATTTGGTATAAAATTCATAAAGTTATGCTACTAGTAACATCATCTAAGTTTAGAATATTTTCATTCTCCTCCCCAATAAAAAAGCTTAAGATCCATTAGCATTCACTTCCCATTTCCTGTTCCCTAATCTCCTGCCCCAGGCAACCACTAACCTACTTTCAGTCTCTAAAATTTGCCTGTTTTGCACATTATATAAGAAGGAATGGAACAACACATGGCCTTTTGCAACTGTCTTGTTTCACACAGCATGTTTCCAAGGTATATTCATACTGGAGTATGAATATATCAGTATTTTTATTGTCAAATTTTACTGTTCTATATAATAAACTACAATTTTGAGTTCATGGACATGTTGGTTGTTTCACAATTTTTTTTTTTTTTTAGCTATTATTAGAAATCCTGCTGGAAACATTTGTACCCGTGCTTTTTTCATGAACACAAGATTTTGCTGCTCTTGGGTCTTAATAATGAGCAGGAATTCTGTGTATAATATTTTTAAGGACTCTCAATCCATCATCTAAAATGGCTGTACTGATTTACAGTCCTATCAGGAAAGTTGAGTTCCAATTTTTCCACATCCTCATCAACTCTTGCTATTTCCTGTCTTTTGGATCATAGCTACCTATGCTATGTATGAAAAGCATCCCGTTGTGGTTTTGAGTTGAATTCTCCCACTGGCTAATAGTAATCATCTTTTTGTGTGCTTCTGGCTATTTTATATCTTCTTCAGAGGAATAGCTACTTAAATCCATTAGTCACTGAGTATTTTTGTTGTTGTTGTAGTTACTGTTGAGTTCACTCTTTCAACATTCTGGATATGTCACTTAAAAGATATATAGCATGCCAATATATTCTTTCATTCCTTGGGTTCCCAAATAAAATAGTTGTGCTCTATTTGGAGGGGTGTTGGGCCACACCTGGCAGAAATCAGGGCTCATTCCTGGCTCTGCACTCAAGTAACACTCATAGAGATGCTGGAGGAATATATAGGGTGCCGGGGGTCCCAGGTGGGCTACCTGCAAGGCAAGAGCCCTACCCACTGTACTATCATTTTGGCTCCCAAATAAAATAAAGTTTAAAATACTATTCACTTGATTATATCATGGCAGTTTTTAAAGTAAGAGAAATAAAGCAAAACAAATAAAAAATTCATTCATCCATTCAACAAACACAGAATGGGAATCACCTAATTTAGGAAGTAGGTTCCTATGATGTAATATATATTTGACAGCATTGACTAATGATTACTTTGTTCTAAACAGATTCCAAAGATGTCCTTTAAAAATGTTTAATTAATTAATTCATTTAATTTAGTTGTATTAGTAGAAGATAGGGAGTGGGCTGGATGTCACGAGGCAAAAAAAAGTATAAGAACTCGCTGAATTTGGTGCTTGCTGAAGCCCACTGCGCAGGGCGGATACTTGAACCCCAGCTGGCTGGAACAATAAACCTCGCTATGTGATTTGCATTGTCATTTGCATTATCGGCTGTTCTCTGTCCTGGAGGGGTGATCTACTTGGGACTCACAGGACAAGCCCAGGCTCTCTCCTGGGCAAATTGCTGTCTCCCACTTTCTCTTCCTCCTTCCCTTCAAAACCTCCAGAGAAAACGCTTCACCTGACTGCTCCGGACATTCTTTTCTGCGAGGCGAGACAAGATCCCAGTAAGCCTGGGTTCGGGTGGCAGGGCGGATGGGGAGAAGGTGATAGTCTTCCTCTTCCCATGCTCGTTGGCCACCCTGGGGCCCGAAACCCACCCCCGACGGGAACCTGCAAGCTACAGAGTGTATTTTGCCCACACGGCAGAGCCTGGAAAGCTCCCGGTGGTGTATTCAATATGCCAAAAACAGTAACAACAAGCCTCACTATGGACACTTTACTGGTACCCGCTAGAGCAAATCGATGAACAACGGGAGGACAGTGCTACAGTGCAGTGCAGTAGAAGATAAGAAATATATCATATATACATGAAGGGCAGCATCTTTTAAAGAGATTTTTTTCTAAAGTACAGTGAGATGGACTTTCTTACCTTATCGTTTCAGAGTCTTTTTTATAGCTTTATAGCACATTAATCACTCCTCTACCCTCAACTCATTGAAAAAATACATTACTTTGCTATATAAACCAAATAATACTTGCCTAAAATCTCAACGATGTTACCTGGAAGCTATATTTTCTATGTGTACTTTAATAGATAAAGTAGCGTTTAGTGCTTAAAATTCAAATCCTATTCAATGAGCACCTTAAGCCAGTATATCAGAGTGAACATATTTATGTTTAATCTCTCGAATAACCATTACCAGCTCAGAAAGCAATAGGTGAAGAATCTCTACACTAACCACATTTTATTTATAAAATATTTCAAGACTGTTGCTTCTGATCCACGGTGGTAAACTGACAGACAAACATGGATTATTCCATGGTCATTAAGGCAATGTTCTTAGATTTAACCAGATAAACACAGAGACAAAGGAAGACAGTAAAATCATTTAACACACGCAAATTTTAAATAGGCTGTCAGCAACCATGCGAGTTGTCAGAGCTTGTCTATCAAACACGCTCCAGAATAGTAACCTCGGTGGGGGTTTCGTTTTGTGGCAGACTGCTGCTTCTGAACTGGAAACATGGACCAGAAGCAGAAAGACCCTCGTTCCTCTACTGACCTTGTTCACTCAGTGTTTAGGGATATAGGAATCAGAAGCAGATGGAGGCTTTCTTCAAGTTTAGCAGTTGCAGGGAATAAATTAAAAAGGGAAGGAAAGAATACCTCCTACGCATTTATTAAAACTTTGTTTCCTATTGAAGAAAACAATATTCTTTCAAAATGACAAGAGAGTGGAAAGCATGAAAAATGAGACAACTCTTGGCCCTAGATTAGAGAAATAAAAATGCGAGGGAAAGAGAGAAGTGGAGCTAGGGGGTTGGAAGTAATATAGGGCCATGGACAGAGGCCTTGCTCTAAACTCAGGGGTAAATATGGGGTGTCTATAGTTATCAAAACTATTAGCGCCATCACAACTGTAAGCACAGGGCCCAGACTAACAAGTAAACTTAGAAATGTGCTTGTCAAGGAGACAGATTGGGGAGAGGGAGGGAACCCGGGGTCACTGGTAGAGGGATGTGGACGCTGGTGGTATAACTGGAGTTGAGACACTGATGCCTAAAATTCTATTGGCAACAACATTGTAAATCACAATGCTTAAATAAATTGTAAAAGCTGAAAAAAAATTGTTTGCAGGGAAGACTCCACAGTAGTGCTCATGGATCCCAGGGACCATTCCAAGCCATACTTGGCCTATTGGTGTAGGCCTGACAATTCTGTTTTCGATCATTGGGAGAGGGTGGGATTATGATAGAGAAGGAATTTGGGGTCTCATGCATTCCAACTATTTGAACTCTATCTCCAATCCCAGTTTAGTCTTTTCAGGTAGTTGAGTAGCTGTCATTACAATTGGAAATAACCACTTCATATTGGGGAATGTGTTATCAAGTGTTAGAGTTGACACAGGACGGTAGAAAGGTGACTTCTTACCAAGTTCGGTGACAGAAGAGATTGGAAGTGAAACAGAACACCTGCATTGGCAATCTGCTCCAGCCACCTTCTGCTGGCCTCCCATGTTTCCATCTCATTTTCCTTGCTATTGTCAAACATCTGGTTTAAGGCGGCCATGAGCTGCTCAGAGAAGGCACAGACAGTGGCCACCAGGCTTTGGCAAAAAACCATGTCTCTCCGGAGCTGCGTCTCACTGTCTGTGATCCAGGAGAACAAAAACAATAATAACACACTAAAAAAATAGCTTTGAAAGACACTGTAGGTGAACAAATACAATCTCATTAAGCAATTGCACTCACTATTATTCAACCTTTTTTTATATTTAAACCATATTTTTAAAAAGTCTAGTAATGAGCACATGCCATTATAGAAGGCATTGACTGTCCTGAAATTTTAGAAAAATTGAAATGATTTTTCTTAACTGATACTGTGACTTTATTTTGTAATCAATAATTTCATAAAACATTAGGGGGGGCAAAGGTTCATTTCATTGACTTTTTTAATGATGCACAAAAACTCGCATATGTCGCACATTTTCCTAAAGAAAACTTGGAAGTCCAATCTTTCCATTTGTGGCAACTGAAACACATTATTAATATATAAAAATCATTTCTAAAATTAACTGCTGAACTTCCTCAAACACGAATGGAAAACACACATGGGCAAAACTTTTAAAGTCCAATTATAATGATGAGCAAATCTGTATCTATGCAATTTACTTATTCAAGTACATGAGGTACAGATATGACGTTTATATGTACCTATGCTAATTTTTCCTAGGACTCTTACTCTTCTGAACTGTCACTTCCTGGTCCAGAGGTTTTATTTATTTATTTTTTAAATGCAAAGAAACTGCCTCTGAAAACCTGGACACAAAGGATTCACCTACTTCAATGGTATGACAACCACAAATTCCATAAACTGTATCAAAATCAAGTACTACATATGTATGTGGGCGTTTTGGGTTACAAGTGATGCTCAGGGGTTATGCCTGGCTTTGCACTCAGGAATTACTCCTGGAGGTGCTTGGGAGACACTCTGCGATGATGGGAATCGAACCCGGGTCGGCCACATGCAAGGCAAATGCCCTACCCGCTGTACTATTGCTCCAACCCCTCAATAACTATAGTGAATGTAATATAAACAGTATTTTATACATAGGAAATTCACTTGTGCCAAAATAACAACAAAGGTCACAATAATCTAGTCCTAAATGTCAACTGAAAGATTTAATTCTGTGTCATCCATTAATTTTGACAGTGTTTCTTTATTTTAGAAGATTCTGTCAAAATTAATGGACAACACAGAAATAAAATCTTTCCTTTATTCAGTGTTGAGTTCTTGTTTTATAGATAAAAAGGCATGATTTGTATTCTATTGTGTTGGGAGCCACACCAGGTGCTGCTCAGGGGCATCTCCCAGTTTGGTGCTCAAGAGTAGTTCTTGTTGGAGCTTAGGGAATATGTGTCATTAGGGATCAAGTCTAGGGATATCACAAGCAAAATCTGTGCTTTGAGTCATCTCCACAACTTGGAAAATTCTAATTTTTAAGTAGTTCACCAATAATATTGAACAGAAGTTTTTAATGACCTTACAAAGGTATGTGCATGAATCACATGAATCTGACTTACTGTTAGTGGTTACTCCTAGTAATTATATTAGAAAAAAATGAATATTGAAAATATTTCATTGAAAAATAAAAATATTCATGTAAACTAATAATTTATGTGTTATCAGGTCAAATATTATATCATGTCAACCCAAGATTTGGAGCAATAGCACAGCAGGTAGGGCGTTTGCCTTGTACGCGGCCAACCCGGCAGAACGGAGTTTGATTCCTCCGCCCATCTCAGAGAGCCTGGCAAGCTATCAAGAGTATCTCGCCCTCATGGCAAAGCCTGGCAAGCTACCCGTGACTTATTCGATATGCCAAACACAGTAATAACAAGTCTCACAATGGAGACGTTACAGGGTCCGCTCGAGCAAATCGATAAACAACGGGAGGATAGTGCAGTGGACAGTGCAATTTAACCAATGATGTCAGGCATTGATGTAAAGTAGATATATAGTTCATGTCAACAAGAATCATTTATAGATATCTGTAAAATGACTAAACTAGACAAGAATTTCATTCTGTCTTCAAGTAAAAAAAAAACAAACCTGTTTTGAACAGATTAGTTAAGTATTTACTAAAAAGTCAGGGACAGTAAATATTTACTGAGTTGGTTAATGAAAATTGCAAACCAATAGACCAACTTATAAAAAATGAATTAAGTAAAATGAAAATTCATGAGCTCATTGGCTGACTTCTCAGAATGCTTGGATTCAGTTTTACTTTTCAAAGGGTCATTCATAAATTTTTCAGTCTAAATATGTGGTCAGAGTGCTACGTTGAACATGTGAAAACTGCTCCATTTATTTTTATTTACATTTTCTTTGTTTTTAGTTGTTCTTTAGTAAAGCAGGAAACTTGATCAAGAACTTTTATTGAGTGGCTGGGGGGAGAGGTGCAGGGGGCATAGCCAGGAATCACTCTGGGTGGGCTCAGGGACCACATGGGATGCCGAAGAATGAACTCAGGTTGCCACGTGTAAGGCAAAAGCTCTGCTTATTGTACCATCACTCCAGCCCCTGGCCCAAAGCATTTTTAATTGGGCCAGGACAACAGTATAGTAAGTAGGGTGCATTCCTTGCCTGCTTAGAGTGCTTCCCTTGCATGTGGTTGACCTGTGAGCCTGCCATAAATTATCCCTGAGCACAGAGCCAGGAGTAAATTCTGAGCACTGCTGGGGTGTGGCCCCCAAACAGCAATAATAATAATAATAACAGTAATAATAGTAATAAAAATAATAATCAACTTTTAAAAATTTTTTGTGGTACTGGGGATCAAGGCCACATCTCATGCATGCCAGGAAAGTGCTTTACATTTGAGCCAGATCCGAAAAAATAATTTAAAACAATTTAAAATCAGACCCTCTGAAAAAACATTTTTAAACACTTCAGTAGATTTAGTAAGAATAATCCCACTTATAACTTGAAAATAATTTCTCTAAAAAATAATAATCGAGGGGCTGGAGTGATAATACAGCAGGTAGGGTGTTTGCCTTATACATAGAAAACTTGGGTTGAATTTCTGGCACCAGATTTGGTTCAACCAACCCCACCAGGAGTGATCCCTGACTGCAGAGCCAGGAGTCAACCTTGAGTACTGCCAGGTGTGGCCCAAAATCCAAACCCTCAAAAAAAATACCCCCAAAAAAATCTTAATTGAGGGGATTGAGACAGTACAGCAGTTTGGACTGGCACCCATGGTGCTCCAACTTCTGCAGGGCACAGTCCGGGGAATCTCTGGCACAGCATGGCTCAAGCAGCAGCAATGCAAACTCATGTCCTAGTGCTGAAGTGTCAGCCAGGTAGGCTGAGAATTGCCAGTGAGACAGTTAGACACCCGAAAAACAGCTTGAGAGTCACTACACAAAATAATTTAACTGAGGGGCTGAAGACTCTCTTCAATGTCAACCCCTTTACTTCAGATGGTCCCTGAATTCTACCAGCAGTGACTCTGAGAAAAGAACCACTTCGTGTGGCTCTAAACAAAATAAAACACAATCTTAATTGAAAAGAGATGACATTTATCAAGAGTGGAAGGCTAAGGTCTAAAGAAGGAAGCATCAGGCTTCCCCCCCACTTGAAGAAGATATCGCACAACTTAGTAATTTTGTCGGTACTTGACAACAATAACAATTCTCAAATTAATTTTGAGAAGAGATTCTCAAATTTCTTATTTTATTTTAAAGAGATTACTCTAATGATGGGCTGGAGTGATAGCACACCAGGTAGGGCATTTGCCTTGCACAAGCCCAGCAAACTTCCGAGAGTATGTCGCCTGCATGGCAAAGCCTGGCAAGCTACCTGACATATTCAATATGCCAAACACAGTAACAACAAGTCTCACAATGTAGATGTTACTGGGCCCATTTGAGCAAATCGAAGAACAATGGGAGGACAGTGCTACAGCGCTACTTTCTATTTGCATGTTAAGTAAAATTAAAAGTTCATTCAACATTATCAAATCAGAAATCATCATAAAAATTGTCTTAAACCATAATTCAGGTTTCAGTGGTTTTGATGGGTTTCTTTTCATTGGGGGGCAGGGAGGGGTGGTAGAGCAATTTGTGCCCAGAAGTTATTCTTGATTCTGTGCTCAAGAGTGGCTCATGGTGGTGTTCAGGGGAACATATGCAAAGCCCTAGATCAATGAAACCAGGGTTAGGTTACATGCAAGGCAAACACCTTCCTTACTGTACTATCTCTCTAGTCTCTTTAATTCATTTTTAATACTCAATACCTGCAATATATTAAACATTGCTTAATTCCAGGGGTATAAAGCAGAACATGTAAAGAAGTCCTTGGTCATGTCTGTCCTCTGGGTAGAGCAATGGAAATAGATATACAAGATATTCTGGGATCAAATTACAATCTAATGCTTAAACCAACATACTTTTGATTGGTGAAGGTCACAGGCGCGATTTTCACATATCATTTAATATTTGCTTCTACTTTGCCCCAAATTTACAATGTTGACTTTTTTTCTATGGTGTTGTTTAGTCATAGGTGAAATCACATAAACAAATCAACAAAATTTTGCCAGGAAATAGGGTTTCAAGAAGAAACAATAGTCTAGTTTTTGTTAACCCATGTGTCACATAGATAATCTTTAAAATATATTTTTATGAAGAGAACAAATACTAATAACTTCATGAAGGGATTTTTCCATTACTGTCTTCCACTTTTTAACAATCTGCAAATAGCTTATTTGTGTGGACTTCAAAACACACACAGTATATATTAATAGGATTTAAAGTAAAGTTTTACATCACACAGCAAATAACAAAGAAAACCCAGAGCAGTATAAAGGGATCATTACAATTCCATGCTCCACTGACGGTTCAACTTCTCCACATATCACTTTATTCACCATCAGATACACCAGCAACGATCTTCACAGCAATTATTTTGGAGAATATAATAAATTACATCATCTGAAATAATAGCAATTCAGAGCTCTAACCCCTCTTTTAGACACATGGACCTTGATCACATTCTTGAAACATTAAATTGCCTTATAAAGGCCCTTTTTGCCTATACCTTCATCTTTAGGCACATTCTCAAGAGTCAACTCAGTGAACTAGTGAAAGTCACTGAGGTATTGAAATGTTATGTTCCCTTGTGAAACTCTCTGCTTCCTTTAGGAAATATTATGTACTTCCTCCTGCCACCCCAAGCCTGAGGACATCCTTGTACCAGAGGACTCATTAGGAGGCTGGAGAGCTTTTGCTTGCTTATTTGTGTTCCTCAAGGGACTATCATTCCTCAAAGCCAGAGGAAGTGGCGTATAACATGAATTATGCTAAAGGGGTGTTAGAAGCATATAATCTGCTTTCCAGGATCCACTGCATCCCTTTTAAACCATATGATCTTAAGCCTCAGAACCTTAAATTAAAGCATGGGTATTCCTACTCCTTAGATGTGGAGAAAAATACGTGAAGTTTAAGACTCATACAACACTTTAGTAAGGTAAAACTTTTCCTTTGATTCTTCTTTATTATAGCATGGTTGGAGTTGGAGTTGGAGTTGAAAACTTGGAGTTGTTCAAAATTTACAAGTAATCATCCTTTGCAAAATATATTACCTTTTCTCATATTTTTATTAATAAGAAGTACAGAAAAATCATAATTTCTGTTTTTAACTTCTAGAAAAATAAGAAAATTAAGTATTTTTGGAAAGCTTACTTTTGAGTAAGAATTCTCTTGAAAAAGAATAGTTTTTTTCCCTACTTATGAAAGATTTGTTTCATTACAAGATTCAAACACCAAATAAACTCTTCTACAAACACATTTCAAAATATAAACTACATTTAATCTCAACTATTTCTTAAAATATGTTTTAAAAAGTTATATTATTAACTAGGTGGTCTAAAGAGCATAAGATAGTTTGCAGACAGACAAACAGTCACAGTTATTATTTTATGAGTATAGATAAAAGAAAACAAAATAAACAAAAACAAAAAGAGAAGAAAGAGAAGATTAGGGACAATAAAGAAAGGAATAAAAGGATTTGGGAATATTATTTCTCAATAATCTGTCCTTTTCAAGTAAAGAGCATAATTTTAGCTCAACAGTATGAAGTAATTAGGCTACTATTTCGGTGCAGACCTAGACAGAAAAGGCGGGGGACAGGGGGTTGTAAATGTTGTAAATGAGTTCAAAGGAAGGAGAATGATGACAGGCCTGGAAAAGTTAAAACCAAAAGAATAATCTAAATAAATGGCCATTTGAATATTAATGAATAAAACAAATAATTCTAGGACCATTTCCGGAATTGGTAAAACTAAGCTTAAACATCAAAACAGCCAACTACTTACTCATTGACTCAGTAAGGCATCTACTCATCCAGATGTTTAAGCATCTGTGTGTATTGTATGAATACTTCATATTAATTATAATTAATCTGTCTAAGTGTTGATTTTTCATCTTTAAAACTAGAAATAATGGTATTCTTAGAGTGGTTGTGGGAACTCAATAATATGTATAAAAGGAGTAATACATCAAGGGTAAGAATTAAAGCTTTATTAAAAATTATTCATAAGGAAAGCAAGGCAAAAAACCCATTTAAACAAGAAACAGACAACAAGAAAATGAAAAAGTCCTCTTGGTTAACTTGACTCACTAATCCAGTCATAATTTGAATTTTCCAAGTGTCCTAAATTGGGAAAGTAGTACACATGTCCTTTCAAGAGAACTCTGATATTGCAATTCCTCTGAGCACATGAAACAAACATCAAAAAGCATACTTTCTTTTTCCTAAGAATCTGAATAAGTTTCTAGTTTCAAAATTCATGTGCTTCTATGAAGACAATCACAGCAAAGTCACAGCAGAGGAACATTAGCTATTTTGGCTTCCACTCCACCCTCCACATGGAAAGCAAAGCCAAGGAGAAGCGGCCACCCTGTCACTCCCTCTTATAAACCAGACAGCGCCTCCCTAACCTCTTCACTGCTGCCTGCATCTCCTGGTTCCAGGGTGTAGATCATGGGATAATTCATTTTGCAAGCATGGCTCACAGAACTCAGAGAAACATTTATTCTCCATTCATTAAAAAAATGATAAATTCATGAGTAGTCAAATGGAAGAAACTTACGGACCAAGGTGGAATGGGGGAGTGAACACAGAGGGACTAATATCTCTGAGCACATCACTAGTTTCCCCACTTATTAAAGAGAATAAGATCATCTAGATCCTGTTCATAAACAAAATCATTAGACACAATTTGACAATATGTTCCTTTTGCAGAATGAGCTTTATAAAGTCCTTGCCCTTTCTCCTCTTTAAAATTGTATGTTCTGTAAGTATATATTTACATGTCTTTATGTTTTTACCTATAATTGAAGAGGAGCTTATATTTTTGTTTTCCTAAAACTGTTTTTCAATCTCTGCATAGTTTTAAAGAAAAAAGATAATATCTCTATATTACAAATAGCAGAAGGGTTTGCCTTCATATTGTAAGATTTCTAAGATCTTGGAGAGAATAATTTCTATTATAAAAATAATGTAAAGTATTACCTGAATATTCAAGAAGAGCCAGAAGTATCCTACACTTGACTTCTGCAAAGACAAAAATGTCAGTTAGTTAAGTCTTTTTTTCTTGATTAATATTACATTTTAACTGTGATTAAATCTTAACATGATATTATGTTATTAGAATATAAAAATACTAGTCAAAGGACATACTATTCTTACATATAAGCCTATATCTGTTCTACCCCATGTTCAAGATTCTAAAATATCTTTTTGTTTGAATAATGAAACTATAAAATAGCATTTAAATTCTGCTGCCTTTATCAGTTAGTTTTAGTGGTTGTGTCTTATGTTGTGTACTCTATAGTTATTAAGCTTACACATTATGATAAATAATTTTTATTATTTATACTTCTAAATATTATATATTTAATGCTTACAGAATTTCATTGCATATTATTTTCTATGCTTATATACTTAATATAATTCATTTATTATATATTAAATCACAATATATATTATTCGTTTTTTATTCATAAGTAGATATATTCAACTAAAGAGAATAAAAATACTAATATTTCTCTATCAGAATTTCCTAAACCTAGAGGCAATCACTTAGTTTTGATAAATGATCTATATCAACACCATATGCAGTGCTGTATGTGCAATGAGATGTGTGTTCATTTGTTTCCTAATAAGGAAGAGCTTACTTGTAACAGCTTATAAAAAAACACACAGCGATCTTATGTGCCCAAAATTATAGGTAATAAAATAGGTTAGACTGCATTCTATTTTAGATCATTACACAACAGAGACAAAGAAACAAATTAACCAGTAAAAAATTCAGGAAATACTTGAGAGTGCATTAAATTTTACAAGTGAAACTGCAAGAACAAAAGGATTTCAAGGGCAGGAATGCACAATGAATTGAGTCAGAGGATGTGTCTTCTAGAACCAACTTGCCTGGCTTTAGGAAACTGCTGAACTATTTTAAATCTTAACCTGATCATTTATAAGTAATCATAACATCTATTTATCTATTTTACAGGCTTCTGTAGGAAAAACTAAATGTACATTCTAAGCATTAGGAAATTACTTAAAACTGTTATGTGTCAGAGAACACGGCACTATTGTTGCAATTTAACTAGTATAGAATTATAAATGAATTTCAAAATTTTTTAATTAAAATTATACTTAAGTTATTAATGATTTAGTGCACTAGCTAACTTCGGGAAACAGTGCTAGAAAAGTAATATTCAAGAGACAAAATACCAACTAGACAATAATCTTGTGATAGTAAAAAATTTATTATGCTATTAAGCCACTGCAATTGGTATACAATTAGAAAGTTCCTTGAAAAAAATGGTTTTTACTGTTAATTAGTTTGATGGGAGGTTTCTAAACTTATTTTTTCTAATGTTGCTTTTTCAATAAAAATGAATAATCATTCATTGCCATCCACCCTAAAAATCACCACATTCTTTAAGCAAAAAATAGAGAGCCTATCCCAATTAAAACAAAAGATTTCTACCCCCTACCACACACACACACACACACACACACACACACACAAACACACTCTGTTCCAGTGTTCCCCAAGGGGTGGTAAACTCACTTTGGAAAACATTGATTTATACTTAATCATCAGAAAATTGCTGTAAGATTCTGGGTAAGGGTACTGAAACTTTGAACAAGGTATCTACTAAGAATATGGTAATAATGTAGATGAATCATAAGACGGGGACAAGAGAATTAGGACAGAATGCCATTCAATTACTAAGGCATCAAAAAAGGTAAAAATTTAACAGACTTGAATGTAAAAAAGAATAATCCTCTCAAGATATTAAGACAAATATAGAAAAGATTAATAAAAAAACTGGCTACCTAGTAAAAAAGTTTTTAGTGAAAACTTAGTTTTTAGTGAAAATGGTATGGGATAAAGAGTTGAAAACATGCTTATTGATAAATATTAGAAATTAAGGTAAGAGCGACTACAATTCTGTAACCAATTTCGTATTTGATTTTTCTCTCACACCAGTAGGCTATTTCCTGCCACTGCCAAAGTCTCTTATAATTCAACTCATTCCCGACCCCATGTGCCTGAAGATTGGGACAGATCCATAAGCGAGGGGCTAAGCCACTTTAGATGCCAAAGGCAAGTGTAAGTCTTCTCCTGTGCTTTGGGCCAATAAGAAATTGAGTGGAGGCTCCCAAGACCCCCTTCATAGATTTAATGATTTGCTAGAATGACCTAGAACCAAGAGAAATGGTTCATTTCAAAGACCACCAGTTTACTTTCAAAGGCTAAAAGTCAGGAACAGATGTAGTGAAGCAAAAGATAGGGCAAGATAAGAGAAAATGGTGAGTCTCTTCTGTACCTGCCCCAAACACACCCCACCCCACTCTGCTAGTACCTACACACCATCACCAAACTGGAGGTGCAGAACCCTATTTTGGGAATTTTGTGAAGCTTCGTCACATGGGTAGGGTTGACTAAATCACTGATTATTTCCAGAGACTAAAATTATCCTTTTTACGTAAGAACTAGAGACATTCTATCTTGGTATCCCATTTGGCTATGTATTTGATAGGCTATTTTATTTTACTTGTTTTTGGACCATACCCTGTGGTGCTCACGGCTTACTCCTGGCTCTATACTCAGGGATCACTCCTAGCAGTGCTTAGAGGACCATATGGGGTGCCAGGGATTGAACCCTGGCCAGATGCGTGCAAGAGATGGGCTATTTTGAAACCAGAAAAGGAAATGGGTTCGAAAAAGCCACTACAAAATACGGAGCACTGACATGTTAGGTATTTTAAATGGAAGAAATCTGAGAAGCAGCAGATGCAGGAAGAACTCTCTGACCCCCTTCCCTTCAAGGACCTGGGAAATACCATCCTTGTACTTGGAGGAGAGGAGCATTCTGATCTCCAAGTACAGAGGACTGCAAAATAACACTCTTCGCCAAGGGTCCTCTATTTTACTCTGACAGCTCATATCCCATCACATTCCTCTGCAACTTTCCACTCTTCATCAAACCTTTAGAAGAACAGTCAGGCTCAATCTTTTTTACCTTGGGTCTTCCTTTGACACAAATAAAGCCTCCTGTGGCATGCACAACTGTATTAAAGATATCCATATGCTTTTCTTTTGTTCCATTGCCTGGGTCAGTTTAACTTATGGAGACTCAGCCAAAGAACTGAAGTTAGAAGTAAAATTTTTCCCTCCCCAACAGGAGTATCAGACTGAGGCTCTGTCAGCTACACATATACATTGTAATTAGGCACATCCTGGTAACATGGCATTGTGTGAAATTTCCAGAGAAGGCTGCACCTTCCAAAAAACCATAAAACGGGAAAGAGCAAGACTAAGATCAATGAATGCTAAGCAAGTGAGTTTCAGAGTGCCTTCACATGACAAGACTGATTCGGGGATCTCAATGATTCTCCTTCTCTCTCTGTTAATAGATCCAGACTTCATATACATTAAGAGGAAAAAGCAGTTTTGCCTTCTCCTTTCAGCTGGTCTCATTGGTCTAAGCTAATGACTCCCTATTTTTTTAACAATTCACTTTATATGGTGCTAATCACAGCTCTTATCTAAAGAGTAGTTACATGTTGCTGAAACTTGCAACTGCAATTCTGCAGGGTCTTCCTGCACCCTTGACACCACAGCTCTCATCCAATCAGATTTGACAGCTCTGGAGCTCCCAGGACCAAGAGTGGCACCAATATTCTCAATAGATCAAGAAATATTTGTATAGTTGCCATTCCTTTGGCTGCTTGTGATAGGCAGAACTAAGGGTATGAAAGCATGACTTGAGATGAAAAATGTAAGATTTTGAAAATGTGTTATCATTTCTAAAACTAAGGTTTTTGTCCTGCATTGGAAGTTAGTATAACCCAAACAAATAGGTTGTGAAAATTAAAAAAAATAGTGTTGATGAGAATAACAGAATTTAAATGCACAAATTTAAAATTTTGAGGAGTTATATTCCAGATGTCAGGGACAAAGCATTTTATCACACAGCAGAATTTATATAGTAAATCAACAGAGACTTCACAGATAAATACTATCTAATCTGTTTTACATATATAAAAAATGTGTGTGCATAGACAAATTTTGTCTAGAAATATAAGAATATTTCTAGACAGAAGATTTAATAACCACAAATTATTTAAACTATCTTTGCATTTAGTAAATTAAAAAAACTGTGATCCAGGGAAGTTATGGGCTGGAGAGCTTGTATAGTGGGTAAGGTGATTTCCGTGCATGTGGTTGACCTGGGATAAATCCCCAGCATCCCCTAAAGTCCCCTGAGCATTGCCAGCAGTGATTCCTGAGTGTAGAGTCAAAGGAAGTCCTGACCAATGCCAGGTGTGGCCCCAAAACAAAATAAGCATACAAAAGTTTGCATGCCAAGGTTAAGATTTTATTGTGTTTAATAGTTTTTCTTTTGTCAGCGAAATATAAAATTCTCTCTAATTTATACTGAAAAAAAATCATTAGTAGGGCTATACTTAATTCTAGTGAACTTATTACACCAAATGATGATAAAAATGATTAAAAATAAAATTGCAATAGGCTCTATACATTGTACAGGTTACTGGGTCTTAGCATTATTAATATTTAGAGCCAAGTCACTATTGTGAGAGACTATTCATTACAATGAAGAACATTTAATAGCATCCCTAGCTCCCCTGAATAGGTGCCAATAGCAACCCAGGATTTCGACAACCAAAAAAGTCTACAGACAGCTCTAGCAACTAATACTGAGAAGAAAATATCTGAATTCAACATTTAAAAGCTCAAAAAAAAATTTCATCATTTTAACCATACAATTTTGGAAACTTCCAGGATTTTCTACTGAAAATTCCTACTTAACACAACATGCAATGAAACTTGCTGAAGTTATAAAACTTCTTAAAGTTTTATATCCCTAATTACAGGGTGTTGGAGATACAAAACACTATCAGATATTGAGCAAACAACATAATGATAGTCGCCAAGAAATACTCTTTTTTTTTGGGGGGGGGGTCACACCCGGCTATGCAGAAGAGTTACTCCTGGCTCTTCACTCAGGAATTACTCCTGGCAGTGCTCGGGGGACCATATGGGATGCTGGGAATCGAACCCAAGTCGGCTGCGTGCAAGACAAATGCCCTACCCGCTTTGCTATTGCCCTAGCCCCAATAAATATTTTTAAAATAAAAACAACTTAAAAATGAGTCGTACAATATTTATAATTATTTTGTCAGAGGACTGGAGCTATAGCACAGTGGTAGGGCGTTTCCCTGGCATGCAGTCAACATGGCCGAGCTGAGTTTGATTCCTCTGCCCCTCTCGGAGAGCCTGGCAAGCTACCGAGAGTATCTCGCCCGCATGGCAGAGCCTGGCAAGCTCCCCGTGACGTATTCGATATGCCAAACACAGTAACAACAGTCTCCAATGGAGATGTTACTGGGCCCGCTCGAGCAAATCGATGTACAACGGGAGGACAGTGACAGTGACAGTGATTTTGTCAGAAATACTCACAATTGCATTTTTAGGCTTTCCATAAATTTAAGATTTATGTGTTTTGAGGATCTTTTATAAGTTCATCTGATATTGTTTTATATTATTAAATACAAAGCTTTGGTTTGGCACTATACCTGGCAATTTTCAGGGGTGACTCAAGAGTTCTGCACTCACAGGGGGTATGGTGCCTCCAGCAGGTCAGTCTACCTGTGAGGCGAGTGCATCAGCAGTCTGACGGCACCGTCAGACTTTCAGATACCCCAAAATTGCTGCTGTGCCTTTTGCCAGACCCCAAAAACTTGGGGCAAAGTTTACCAAGAAAGTAAACGGCCAAAAGTTAGGTATGTGGGAGACACACCCAAAAACCACCTCTGGCTCAGCTATATAATTGGAGGCATGGCCTCTCTGGTTCCTGATCGAACTGCTTAATGGCCATGATCCCAGAGACTCAGAAACGAATCTCAGAACCCAAAGGCTTTTGGCAGACATGCATCCTGTTCCTGCAGTAGGTTACTGGTGCTGGGCCACTCCAGGTAGGAATAGGTTTTGTGCCTTGGCCTGTTCCCCCTGGCGGCCCGGTGACCGCCATCCTCCAGAGGCCACTGGACAGTCAGGTTTGGGCCTGCAGTAATGAGACATATGGGGCCTCACCAGATGGGGGTGGAACTGGCCCTTTCCTCCCCATCCCAATGATGCCCCGAGTCACAGCCTACAAACGGCCCCTCTGGCTCCTGATCAAGCTGATTAATGGCAATGATTCCAGAGACTCAGAAACAAATCTCGAAACCCAGCAGCTTTTGGCAGAAATGCATCTGGACCGCATACAAGGTGGCCACCGCCTCAGAGCTTATTGGAAAGCCAGGTATGAACCGGTGGAGACGGGGCAACTGCAGTCTCATGAGAAGGGGGACAGTACCAGCTCGTCCTTCATGCCCTGCAGAGGTCATGAGTTGCCTCCCACAAGCAGCTCTCTGGCACGGCCATGGCTCCAGAGGAAAAAGGACTTAATCTAGAGCCCGGCAGCTTGTGGCAGAAAAGTGAATGGACCATGTGTTAAACTACGGTCCCATGCCTCCCTGGGAGGGAAAGGGTGTTGCTTCCTTCTGCCTACCCCTCCCCCCCCCAGCCCTGGCAGCAAGGTGGCTGCCGCCTCAGAGCTTATTGGAAAGCCAGGTATGAGCAGATGGTGACGGGGCAACTGCAGTCTCTTGGGAAGGGGGACAGTACCGGCTCATCCTTCATACCCTACTGAGGTCACAAGTTGCCCCCCACAAGCGGCTCTCCTGCAGAGCCACAACACCAGATGCACAGAAAGCAATCTCGTAATTATCTGGCTCTTTGCAGAAATCCAAAATCGCGGCCGTGTGACATTATATGATTCTCATAACCAGCTATAGAAAAAACAAAGTATTTCACAATGACTTTTCAGTAATACTGATTTGGGGGGGGGGGATTCTAAACAATAATGGTGCATCTTTTGTCAAAATAATGAATGTAATCAATATAGAGAAGAGTTAAGTAGAAATCACCTGCCTCACAGGCATTGGGAGGTGTGGGAGGGGGTATATTGGGGTTCGTGGTGGTGAAAAATGAGTACTAGTGAAGGGAAAAGTGTTTGATCATTGTATGACCGAGACTTCAACCTGAAAGCTGAGTAGCTTTTCCCACAGTGATTCAATAAATAAATTTAAGAAGAAAAATAAATAAGTAAATAAAATTATGGGGAAAAAAGGTGGATTTCATGCCCAATTCAATCAGCTAATCAGTGGCTGAATAAATAGCAGTACTCCTACATTTAAAAAAAGAGTTCTGCACTCAGGAATTACTCCGAGAGGTGCTTGGGGGACCATATGGGATGCCAGGGATAGAATTCAGGTCCTCCACATGCGAGGCAAGTACCTAATAATCTGGGGGGATTATGTCTTCTCTGATTTCTTTCTCCTTTTCCCTTCTCTTAAATAAACTCTTTTCCAAATCTGGGGGAGAAAAAAAAACTCCTTATATCTAATTTAAGATTCAGGATTTTCTGAATGCTGAATCATTTAGATCCTTGGAAATTTTGTGTTCTAATATTCCTTCCTCCCTTACTGTTTTTGGTTCTTTCACTTTTTCTATAATCAAGGCATTACCAAACTTTAGGTTTTAGTGGGTTCTCAATAGGACATGATATTCCTTGCTTTTTTGATCTGACCTTCAACAAATTTTCTGATGTTCTGAGCAAGACTCCGGACACTGCTGGGAAGATTCCAAGGATCCTGCTTGATGTGAAGTCTTATTCTTTTGGGGCAGCACAATTTTGGTTCCATTTCCTGTTGAAATTCTAAATAAGCACAGAAAAATTTCTCTTAAATCTCAATCATTTACCAAACATTCAACATTCTTATAAGCCCTCCAGGTTCAGAATTCTTTTTCATTGCTACTGTCTGATATTATGGTCATGGTGGTGATTTCTTTAGCTATATTGGAGGAGAAAATAGTTAAATTCAGTAAGTTGACTCTTAATATAACTTTTTAAATTTAATTTTATCGAGGAGGAGGAGGAGGGTTACAAAGTTGTGATCAATAGGTATGGGGCAAATTCCCAGAAATTTGGCCAACTAAGCCAGATGCTTCAATGCCAGGGCCTGAAAGTATGAGGGGCCACTAAGACTATTCTTGTCAGTGTTTGCAGGGAAGGGGACATGCGGTACAGAAAACAGAATTTAGGGTCTCAGGCACGCAGGACGTGCACTCTAGTCCTATGGGCTATTTCCTGAACCACCTTAGTATTACTGGCTTATACCTATTAAAACACAGGGAACATTTACATAAAAGTTCTACTTTCAATATCTTAATCTAGATATCAGGATATGATAGTTTTAGATTTTGTTCTTTAACAAATCTTCATCTTCAAACTCCTTCCTCAACTAGTAAAATACAATCAAGCTGGCAATATAGTTGATTTAAGCAAATGCAATTCAACATTTCCAAGTCTTCAATGAACTTACATAGAATTAGTCTGGCCCTTTCTGGGCATCAAACAGTAACTGTACAAAATGATTTTTTGTACATTAAAAATTTATCAAAATGTTGATTAAGAAAATTATGAAACATTAACAACCAGAACTATTCATGTAAACTATTCTTAACTTGGTATCTTCCACTTTCATTTTCTAATTGTGTCTAACAGTTGTTTTTTAAAACTTACCTTGTAATCCTCGACCTGGTGTGAGGTACTTGGTTTGCTCAAAGGCCCTCACAACAGCTTGCCCTTTTAGGAGATTGGTAATTGAATCCACCTACAATAACAAAGGAAATGTGTCTCATAATAGAGAATAAATATTTGAAAAAGAAATCTGGCAAATATTTTTTCTTAAAGCAGCAATTATTTTTAAAATCTCATCAAGATTTTTATATTTATCTTTCAATACAATATTGGAATAATCTCAAATGATAACATTTACAATTGTATGCTTTACTATCCTAAAAAACATTAACACAAATTATAAATTTATTTCATAGAAAAATAAAAGTTCTAGAGCTATTAAATAAAACTTTACCAGTTGTCAAAAAAATTTTCAAAATGTGCAAAGCTTATAATTTTTAATCATAAAAATGCTTTTAAAAATGTAAATCATTAATTTGTAACATAACAATCATGTGCTTCACGAAATTAATGATGAAGCGGGGTACAAATGTTAAAAAGGATTCTGAAACCCACAAAGTTAAAAAAAAGGAATCATAAACTATGATTTTCTAAGAACTATGAAATATTCGATGATCACAATATACTTTGGGCTACTTGCCTGAAAAAATATTTATTTACTTCGTAAATTATGTAAATTGAAGTAAAGAGACTGGGAGGATAGACTAAAGTCTTTCTGTCCTAATGCCGAGCTCTGTATTACATCTGAAAATGGGATTTCTGACAGGTGAGTCTGTAGAAAGAATATTCACCACTGTTTCAATCATACCTGGCTGAAAAGATGCTCAAGACAGCTATGTATCTTGTCCTGTTTGTCGTGAGAAATGCGAACACTTAGCGGAAGCTCATCACCTAGATATGTATGGAAAAAAGTCAACTTTAATATTTCAAAATATTTTAATTTAAATGAAATTGAAAATAAACAGATTGGTAGTAGGAAGGAACTTGTTAAGGGAAATTAATGCTGGACACAGTGGGGAAAGATGAGCTGCAATACTGTATGTATGTCTAAAACTCAACTATCAATAGCTTTGTAAATCTTCCATAAAATATATTTTGAAAAAAGAAAATAAAGAAACAGAGGTCTGACTAGAAACACTTAGTTTTCGTGCTCAGAAAAAGAATCCTAGGGCCGGGGCTGGAGTGAGAACACAGCGGGCAGGGAATTTGCTTTGCATATGGCCAACTAGGGTTCAATTCCCTGGATTCCGATCCCATATGGTCCCCTGAGCACTGCCAGGAGTGATTTCTGAGTGCAAAGCCAGTAGTAAACCCTAAGCATGGCTGGGTGTGACCCAAAAAGACCAAAAAAAAAAAAAACAAAAGAATTGTAGGGCCAATGTGATAGTTCCAAAGATGCACATACTTTTCATAAGGGTGGCCTAGGTTTGATCTCCAGAATTGCATGATCCCCTGAACACTGTTGGGAGTTACCCTAAGTCAGCATTGTGCCAGAAGTAGCTCATAAGTACCACCACGAGTTATGTGATAGCACAAAAACCAAACCAAACCAAAACAAAACAAAACAAAAAGATGAGAGAAATGAAAAGGAGAGAAAAAACACAAAAACAGAATTCCCAATAGCTTTTATACAAATTACTATTCCTTTGAAACAGAAGTTAAAGCAAATAGCCCATGTGAAGCATTCTTTCAAATAGTGTGTTTTGCTAATATTGAATGGATAAATGGCTGGAGCGATAGCACAGCGGTAGGGCATTTGCCTTGCACGCAGTCAACATGGCCGACACGAGTTCGATTCCTCCGCCCCTCTCGGAGAGCCCGGCAAGCTACCGAGAGTATCTCCCCCGCACGGCAGAGCCTGGCAAGCTACCCGTGATGTATTCGATATGCCAAACACACTAACAACAAAGTCTCCAATGGAGACATTACTGGGCCCGCTTGAACAAATTGATGAACAACGGGAGGACAGTGTTTGTTTGTTTGTTTGTTTTGTTTGAATGGATAAAATAAATTTCAAATTTAAAGGATAGATTTGTTTTATTGTATGAAATGTTTTATTCTTAACATTCCAAGTAAGTACAGCCTCAGGGCCAGTTGAGCTATGCAGGAGGGCCCTATTCAAATCCCAGCATCTCACTGTCCCCCATGCACTACAGAGGATGACTCCAGAAGACAGAGTCAGAGTAGCCCCTATGTGTCAGATGTTCCTCTCAGGATAAAATCAAGCCAGAAGGTAGCTCTAAGATACTGTATCAGTATCACTCCTCTCCATCCCCTATGCATAATTACTACCTCAAAAGTACACTCTGGCACGAAATTCTTAATCTTCAAAACCTTCCTACCTCTTCTTCAGTGTTATAACAGAAACAGAACATATTAATACATGTTTCCGATTCACCCATCATCCTTCACAGCACTAAAGATCATAACATATGTATGGAAATACACATTTCTTTCATGTGTTAGTCACAGTTTAAAATGACTTTATCAAGCATATAAACCTTACAGGCATAGTCTGGGGCTACCAAATTGTAATTAAAGGGTAAAAACATACATGGATCAAACAGACTAATGCTTTAAAAATAGTTCCCAAAAGCCAGCCTTGAAAATGCACGTGCCTAACCACACACACCTGAGTCCATCTCATCACTGTGAAAATAGGAACTGCATTGGCTGCTGCAAATGCTTGTGAAGGACGCGATGGAGTTCCGGTTGCTGTTGCAGTCACTGCAAACAAACCAACAAGATGTTACTTGGCCAAAATCTATATGTGATTTCCTTGAGACAAATGGGCTTAGACCATAGTTTACATAACATCTATTTGTTTTTACTGCTTTAAGGAAAATTGTGAAAAAGGTAAATGGTCAGATTCATGTGAAATCTTCTTCCAAATTTAGTTATATCACCTAATCTATACCCTCAAGACATTTGTAAAACAAAGAGTCAGAAAAACCTAGAAGTGAAACCAAACTCAAAGTTCTTCATGTATCTAATTAATGGCTAATGTCACTCGCTCATTTGCTAACAGAGTCAAAATCTTGTTTCCTGATTCCTGCCCTTCAGTCCCTTCTGGGAGTTTAAAGTAAAAATCATCAGTTGTTCTCCTAGCTTCCTCGGGAAGCAGAAGCACCTGTATCCACCTCAGAACTCTGCACATTGTCTTACCTCCTTTGAAAAGGAAGAGATGGTCAAAATGTCTGTGGGTGCATATGGTCATATTAAAGATAATAGAAATTGTACAGGCTATAAAGTGCCTTTTTCTGCTCAGAATAAATAATAAGTAAATAAATTAATTAAAAAGGAGAGTTGTTTTGAATTTCCGTTTAAAATGTCAGTTTTAGCCTAGAGAGTAATTTATTATTTGACACTAGAGCTTAAGATAAGTATTTTTGATAGGTCATTTCCTTCTGAGTAGAAACCACACATTCCTATTAAAAGAACAGGAATGTTATTGTTATCCTTGGTAGTTAAAAGTGAATGAAATGGTAAAAAGTGGTTAACCTGAGTTATGTATTATTAAATCTCTAGGAATAATCAATGCATACATTTACTAAATCCTTTTCACAGAGACACTGGGATAGTAGTGAGGTTAAGAGAGAAATTGAGAAGGGCTGGAGAGATAGTAACAACAAGTAGGGAAAAGAGCTCTGAAATAAATAACAGTGATTTAATATTTATCAACTTTTCATCATAAAATGCTCTAATAAACAAAAGAGAATAAGACTGTCTTTGGTTTCAAACAATGTAAATGTAAATTCTGTAAACAGAGAAGCTCTAAAGCTGCCCACACAGTATCATGGGAGGTCTGAACAGTCCCTGATGAGGGATGGGTGTTACAAGGGTAAAACTGCTTTCAATTCAGGTAGGTTACTGGAGGGGTCGCCATTTGGCAGTCTGGTAGAAAGATGACAAGGTGAAGAGAAAAGATGTGATTGGTAGCATTCTCTTCTGCTCATTCATAAAGTGAAGCCTAATAACCAGTAGTGTGATATTATTTGTAGTGGGTACTTTTACAGAGGTCACTAAGTAACTGAAGGAATTATGGTGGGCCCTAATACAATACAGTCAGTGTTCTTGTAAGCAGTAATTTGACAGAAAGACATCAGTGAAAGAAGAGACAGAAGGCTGTCTGAAACTGAGAGAGAACTTTCCTCACCCCCACACTGCAACAGAACCATACTGAGGCTAACTAATTCACTACATTTAGCCCCATAACTGGATGATAATAAGGTGTTATTTATACTAGTGAGTTCTTGATCATTTTTTATAGAAGCTCCAGAAATTTAGATAAGCAGCAGGTTGGAGGAGAAGACAGAGAAAGGTGTTCATGGGAGGTAGGCCAGAAAAAATTAGTCAATTGATTTTAAAGATTAACAATAAGAAAAGACATTAAAATCAAAAAGAATTCCTATTTACCATCCCATAGCTCAATGATCAGAAACAAATATTTTGGGAGGGATTTAAAATAGACACAATTTGCTTACTTTTGATATTACATAATTGGTAACAGAAAAGTTTTTCAAATTAGGTAGACTTAGATGGAGACAAAAAAAATGTTTCCAGAGCCTAGACAGATAATAGAGGGTTAAAGCAATAGCCTTGCATGATGCCAACTATAGTTGCTCTGGGCATGGCAGGTGGATCTCCAACACCACTAGGAATGATTCCTGAATACAGACCCATGAGTAAGTTTTGAGCACTGCCAGGCATGCCCCCTCACACCCCCCCAACAAAACACTTCAACATTTCTCAGGTTACAAATGACGAAGATTTGAAAGGACATGCTATCATCCTTTGGTTAATGTAAACAGGTAAAAAAAAAGTGTTATTTTATGAGAGCAATACATGAAACAATAATCAAAATATTTTCAAGATCCAGATGGAAAATAGGGGCTCATACTGACTGTTGTCAGTTTAAAGAATTAAAATGAATTACCTGTAAGAGTCCCTGTTACTGATGGTGTCATGGCCTGAATCTTCCTGCTCATCTCCTGCTACATTAAAACAAACTCGCTTGCAATTTCGTTCTCCCTTCTCATTGTCACTGTCTGTTGGAACTATACACTCTGATGTCTTGCGTTCTAATTTAGGAGAATACGTAATTGAAGACAGAAGACTGCAATATAATATTCAAAGAAAATAATTAAATATATGCTTTCAAATTGGCTGCACAGATGACTGCCTTACCTACTGAACATAAAAGAATAGTTTTACAAATATTCCTAGAGAACTTCCATATTTTGCATGAATATTCTATAGCTTGAAAAACCTCTCACACAAAATTCGCTTGTTCTTCTCAGAATAAGTTACCAAAACAACACCCAATTCAGAGTGCAAATCTCTGTTTGAATATTACCGGTGCTACTTAATAACCTTGTGATGGTAGTAAAGCCAAGCATGGTAAATATCTGTAAATGAATGACAGTAAGAATAACTGGCCCACATGATTGCTGATAGACCAAATATTCAGTAAACACATTGGCAAATATACCTCTGTCCCCAGCCATAACCATAAATGGAAATTACTGGGGAAATATGAAAGTGTTTTTCAAATATTAAAACAGACACTGGGGCTGGAGCGATAGCACAGTGTAGGTAGGGCATTTGCCTTACAGTCAGCGAACATGGCCGACCCGAGTTCGATTCCTCCACCCCTCTCGGAGAGCCCAGCAAGCTACCCATGATGTATTCGATATCCCAAACACAGTAACAACAAAGTCTCCAATGGAGATGTTACTGGGCCCGCTTGAGCAAATCGATGAACAATGGGAGGACAGTGACTATACAGTGACTATAAAACAGACACTGAATGGGCTTTGATATACCCTCATTGGTTTCGTCTCAGATATGAAAACCCATTTCTTCATCCGCACTTGCTTTGGGTTTCTTCCAGACTTTCTCTATTTGTAAGATGCAACGAGATCCACATGAGTATTGTGGGGATTGTGCATGTCCAATTGTGACTTATCTGCCTGGAGGAATAACTGTTCCAGACACTGCACAACATTCACTCTACCACTTTTAACTTGAGTGTTGAATGGTAAAATGGTGTACTAAAACAATTCAGAAATCATGCAAAACATGACATCAGTCACTGCTATCAGCCCTGTGCTATAAAATTTGCAAAATAAATACAGTATGAACAACAACAAGCCAACATATGGTTTTTCTAACCAACAATCATCTTCTCATCTATCAAATACATTCTGTTCCGGCTAATAGCACATAGACACATAGCTTAACACATTTTTACAGCAAATTTATGTTAACATTATTTCGAAATTATGAGAATGTTGTACATCTTGGATATTTTTTATTATCCAAATACTTTATATTGAGTGAAACAATACTCATTAAGTGATTTTTAATAATGAGCTCAAAACATTCACAGCATTATTGTTTCTGGTGCTGCAGAGGCATCATTTAACAAAACTAACAAAAACTCTTTGCCTTGTTGGACCTTAAATTCTACTGGAGGAAATAACCCATAAGCAACTTAACCATGTAGTATATTATATAGTAACAAATATAAATGAAAAAAAAACACAGGAAGGAAAGAAATTGGGAGCTACAACTCCAAATAATAAAGTCAGATTGAGTCTCACTGTGATACCCTAGTTGAAGAAACATTTGGCATATATTAGCTTTTAGATACTAGTGAAAATGGAGAAGATGTATTATTATATTGCTCAACGATCTATGAACATTTAAACAACTGAAAGCTATGAATTTATTTTAAATGCAACTTTTCTATTTGGAAAAATACTTTATGTCTTGTGAAATATACTGTGTATTTATTCATTCCCTCCACCCTACAGATGAGAACGTTAGACTAATTCCAATTACCAAAGTTCCATTCCGCAGAGTTCAGTGCAATGTACTCTGAATACCAAAGAGAAAAGAGAAACAGGAATCCTCATTTTGCAAGGACTCCTCTGTGCTTTATGTATTGTTTATATTGGAAGTCATAGGGCTAAATATAAATAATTTTTTCAGTTACATGAATTGTATTCACATATTTGCCTTTCATTTTTAACAGCCGCAATCATGCTTACACTGACCCTGTGGGAATAAATGTTAGGATAATAAACAAATGATAGATAACAGTGCTTTTGACACTATATTTGCCCATAAAAATTCTATATTCTTTTTCTCAAAAAGATAAAATGCACTATGGGCCAAAGAGATAGTACAGTGCTTAAGCCATTTTTCTTGCATGCACTAGACCCTGGTTTAAACTCCAGCACCACATGGTTCCTGAGTGTTGCAGGGAACAAATCCCATGGCACTATCAGGTTTGGCGCACACACTCCTGCACGCATGTGCACACACACATGCGCGTGCACACACACACACACACACACACACACTCAACACGTGTGCATACAGAAAACTTTAAATTTTTTTTCTCATAAACTGTATTATGTTCTCTCTAGCAGGACTCAATTTTGTCATTTAGCTATCCTCACCATTTTTTCATCCTGGCTAACCTTTACAGCACTCTTACGACAAGTACTTCGCTAAATGGGCATTAATTCATTCAGTGTCTAGAATCACATTATGAAATATCTAGTACTGTCATTATCATCATCACCCTGATCCCGACTTTGGAGGTAGGATAACACATAATTTGCCAATGCAGTAGAACACCACATCCCTGCATATCACTCATATATACTGGACTGGGTGGCTGGCCATTAGTGTGTTCACACAGCCCCAATATCCTGGGGTCACGTTACTGGGTAGCCTCCCCTACTCCTGCCACCTGATACTTTTTATTCACTTGCTCCTTAGAACAGACCGGTTCTATTTTTAAATCCCATAAAAAATCTCAAACTACTATAACTTATTTTCCCCTTTATTGTTCTTGATATCAAGTATCATTAAATCAGAAAATAGCACACTGAAAAGGAAATAGCTTTAGCTTCCTAAGAGCCAGAAAGGTGTCATTATAGTATTACAATTTCCTTCTTTTGTGTTATAAAACTGCAAATTAGTCTAGTCTCTAGTTCCATCTTTACATCTGAACTCAGCAGGATTCAGCAGAATGCTAATATATTAAAAAAATATTAATTCTAGAAGTATTTCCAAGTCATAGGAAAACCAGAGTTCCTGATCAGACAAGTTCTGCATCAGCCTTCTTCATAAGAACAAACGACTTTCAGCAAGGACAAGCAGTAGGATGGAGTGAGGCGATTTCTCCTAAAACCTTGGTGAAGCATCTGAGATAAGCTTCTATATACGAAGAGACAGCTCTGTCTAACCAGGGATAATTATTACATGGTGAGAAAATAGCTTGAGAGCTGGGTTTTTAAATAATTCGTCAAGCCCAACTAAACTGCAGAATCTCTGAATACTAAGGGCCACAGGGAATCAAGGCACTTGGACAACAGCGCTGTTTTAAAGCGATTGTGTAGTATGCAGAATATGGAGAAAATATTTATATTTAGAATTAAATTACATGGTACACACAGAGAAGACCAATGAAGCTTCTCAAATCATCATTTGTTAATTTTATGTCACTTTCCTAATATGTACCCACAGTTGGGTAATGAGTTTTAGAATTACAGAGGGAGAAAATCTTATGTAAAAATAAGTTATCTAGGGACCAGAGTAACAATACAGCAGGTAGGGCATTTTCCCTTCATGCAGCCAACCCAGGTTTGATCCTTGGCATATCATATTGTCCCTGGAGCACCACCAGGAAAAATTCCTGAGCATGGAGGCTAGAGAAATCCTCGAGCACTACAGATGAGGTACCCTTCCCCCCCAAAAAAGGTGATTCTTTTAAGTGGTTTTGGTCAATAAAAAGAGCTTAATTCTTTTCTGTAAGTTGCATTTTAAATATAAAACTATTCAAAACCAAGTAAGTGGGTGGGATGTGGAGATTAAGTGGCTCCTACAATTTTCCTAAAAATATACCTAAGTCAACTGAATTTTAAAAGAAAAGTCAATAAATTAAGACAGACAAAGCCTGGACATCTGCCTAGCAGTACTGGAAAAATCAATGTATTAGAGGTCAAGTCTCTGAGGCAGTGTATACTCAAGCTCATCAATAATCTTGCCATAGACAAAAGAACGACTCATTTCAAAAGCAGGGATAATAACTCTTGTCCTAAGTAGAATTATGGGGATTGGACCAGATGTTCTTTTCTTATAATCCCTCTGAGATAGAGGATGCATGATTCAGTGCAACTATTTCTTGCCTTATTAATTAAGATTTTTTCCTCTTAGATACTTCTTAAATACTTTAGGTAGAAATCTGTTTTCTAAAACAGAAGAAACATAGATTTACCAAATAAAGCAATATACAAAACCCTAAAATATTTACTTCCTGGTCAGTAATTTTAAAAACAATTCAAAGTGTCATGTAATCACTTAAAAATAATTATTCTCCTAGAAATTTCAGAATGTTTGATTCATCTACAACTGGGAAACAAAAATGTTATAAGCAATATTTAAAAACTAGCATTCAGGACTGGAGAGATAATACAATAGGTGGAGCACTTGCCTTAAATGCAACAAATTAGGGTTCAATCCCCACTATTCCATATAGTCCCCAAGTACAGAGACAGGAGTAAGCCCTAAGCACTACAGGATGTGGCCCAAAAGCAAAAAAAAAAAAAAAAAAAAAAAAAAAGATAAAATTAAAACTAGTATGTCAGAGAATGGAAAGTAGCATCTTATTTATAAGTTAACTAATAAAAACAAAAATAGCATAGTTAATTTTCAATATTTAGAGGGCTGAAGCAATGGTACAGTGAGTAGAACATTTGACTTGCATGTGACCAATCCTGATTCGATCCCAGCACTCTACATGGTCCCACAAGGCAGCCAGAGGTGATTACTGAGCATGGCTGGGTGTGGCCCCCCAAAATAAATAAATAAGCTTTCAATATTTTAAAATAATTTTACAACTATGATACAGTTGAAGGGCTGAGATACTACAGCAGGTAGAGACCTTGCCTTGCATGTGGCCAACCTTCGTTTTGATCCCTACCCCATATAATCCTGGAGCGCAGCCAGGAGTGATTCCTTAGCATAGAGTCTGAAGACAGGAACAACAAAAATTTATAAAAGAAAAAAGAAATCTTATGCATCTAAAAGGTGATTGTGATGTCTAAATTTCAAAAGTAAGTAACATAAGACACAGTAAAATAAATTTCATGATAAAATGTCTATAACAAATGCTTAGAGTAAGCTTTAACTTACTTGTGTCAAAATTAAATTAGCCATAGTAGTCTGAGATAATGATGATGTGCACGTGAACTAACTAATACAGATTTAATATAAATTAAAAATCTATAATTTTATAGCGATATTAGATAATAGATTATTACAGATATGTAGATAATGTATAATGTATTATAATATAAAAAGACTTCATATAAATGACTTCATATTCTGCGGACCTTGAAAATATTCAATAATTTTGATCTATTGAATGGTTAACAAACCATCATTTAATATGATAGGCACAATGCCAGTTTCTTTTTGCTTTTTTTTATAATCTACACCAGAATTATATAATTTATATATCTCCATTCTGTCCCAAACATAAGACATCGCTACCCTAAATCCCATGTTGTTTATAATTTTTATTTATCAATTTTTGAAAATTTGAGGTGATATAACTTACACAGAACTATTAAGAATATAGTTCCAGGCATGCGATATTCCAATACTAAACCCATTACCAGTACAAGTATCCATCCACCAATCTCCCAAGATTCCCTTCTGCCTCCATCCCGACCCTTTTTCTTTAGCAAAATCATTTTTAAAATCAGTTGTTAAAGTTGGGTCACAAGCTTAAAAAAGTGTTGACTCTTACAATTTTGATGTAGAGTTAAGTACACAGTTACCTCACTGCTATACCACCGAAGTATCCATAACCCTCAACCAATGTTCTTATGTTACCTCCAGTCTGTCTCACCAATAATCCCTGTTCCCTACCTGACACATAAGATCCCACTCACCTGCAATTCAGAGGCAAGGTTTGCCATTATTTGTTTCTCTGTATACCACATATGGCTGAGAACAGCCAGTATTTTTCCTCTCACTGTTTAATATGATATTCTCGAGTTCCAACCAAGTTGCTGAAAACTGCATGATTTTATCTCTTCTTTTGACTACATAGTATTTCATGTATAATTATACCAGAACTTCTTTTTGCACTGAACTATCATTGGACATTTGCATTGTTTCTATATCTAGGCTACTACAGTAAGTGCTGCTGCAATGAATGTAAGTGTTCATATAGCTTTACAAATCAATGATTTTTATTTTCTTGGGATAGATGACAAGGAATGAGATCGCTGGGTCATATGAGAGTTCTATTCTGACACTTTTGAGAAATCTCCGTACTATTTTCATTAGGACTGAACTCGATAACATTCACAACAGGAGTGATGATAATTCCATTTTTATACCATTCCAGCCAATACTGCTTGTTTAGCTTCCTTTTTAAATATCATGTTGCTTAACCCATATATAACTGCCTAGAATAAATATGAAACATAATCACGTATCACATATGGGAAATCATTCAACTGTTAAATTCTTAAATAAGAATCAGAGTTGCTATCTTTATTTTTAATTAAGTTCCTCTATCTTCTCTTGGTTAAAAACTTCCAAATTACTAGCACAGCTATTTGACTTTCTGCTTAGCAGACATTACTTTAATCAGAAGAGGAAAAAAAAAAAGATACTGTTCATAGGGTCCTACATAAATGATTCTACATTTGTTCATTTACCGAATATGTTAAGAATTTTTCCATTTTTTAAGTTTTTAGAAACATCTTCTGAATGCATGTACAACAAATACTGTGCTCTTTTCTATAAAGATTATAAGGAGATCCCTAAGGTTGGTACTTTCTATAGTAATTTTCATTTAATATTTTCACAGCTTTTTTCTATAATAGAATTTTATCGTTCACTTGCATATTATTAAAGTCTTCCTTAAAACATAGTTAATGTATTGGAAGAAAGAAAATCTAAGTTGCTGGCAAAAATATAAAAAAATACTAAGATGTTCAAAGTAAAATTTTTACATCTATTTTATCAGTTCCATTTAAAGGTATAATAAGTAGAACACTTACTCATCTATTTGACAAACACACAACTCCACCTCTTTCAGCGCAGTCTGAAGTTTACCCAGCAGTTTCTGATAGATATCTTGTGTCTCTAAGTCCTCTTCTTTTAGTAAATAGCGGAGTCCGTTTCCATCTTGCTGCCCCAGAGACAGTCCTGAGGGGGCCGCCATGGTTGTGATTGTATGTTGAATGTATACCATAGGGCTCAGCTTCCCTGGAGTCAAAATAATCCCAGAGATCTATTAATCATATTTAACTCAATGTAATAATCCAGTGCCACACATTTCAATATCAGACTGTATAAAATGATATGGCAGTCTAATACAAAACAAAATAAAAGACACAAATTAATGGAAAAATATGTCCCATGAATCGGAAGAATTAACACTGTTAAAATGAACATCCTGGGGCTGGAGCGATAGCATAGCAGGTAGGGCATTAGGGCATTTGCTTTGCACGCAGCCGACCCAGGTTCGATTCCCAGCATCCCATATGGTCCCCTGACCACCGCCAGGAGTAATTCCTGAGTGCAGAGCCAGGAGTAACCCCTGTGCATCTTCAGGCTTGACCCAAAATGCAAAATAAAATAAAATAAAATGAACATCCTACCCAATGTGTTATGTAGCTGCAAAGTAATCTCTAGCAAATTTTCAATAGCTTTTTCTACATAAAGACTAAATAATGATAACACTTTTATGGAATTGAAAAAACAATTTCAAATGGCCAAGTCCTGAAAAACAAAATGAATCACTGTATTACGACTGAATAAAGGTCATTAAAAGATTCTAGATTATAAATCAAATATCAGCAAGTTGTTAAATGTAAACACAATTGAGAAAATGCATCTGTATGCAAGTAATCTTCATGTAGTGGTGTCATTAAAACCTGCTAAAATAAAAAACAAAATCTACATAAAGTTTATGGGGAATTAGGATTACGGGCTGAGAGTACAGTTAGAGCCCATGTCCTATAATGATGGTGCAGAATGCCATTATGTGCCTGGCAGCTGCTCCTCCAGTATTTTCCTCCTAGTTTCAGGGAAATTTCAGATTAATGACCTCACAGCAAAATGAGCTATGCCTATCATACACATAAAGGAAAGCAATCATTCTTCTACTATAAAGCTCATGCCTCACATATGTGAGGCCATCCATGGGTATGACCCTCAGAACTGCAATCAATGATAAAAAAAAATTCTTTATTTAAATAAAAATGCCAATTCACTTTCATTCTATGAAGTTAGATATACTCATCAAATGGTAACAGTGAGAAAGTCTATAATTATTTCTAGTCACTTACATACCAAGAATCTATCAAATTTCAGGAATAAAGGAATAGTTCTAAGTGCCTAATTTTTTTTTCTTGGTAGAATAAAGCCTCAAAGGCTCACATACCTTGTTCAGAAGATTTATTTTCTTTATCATGAGAATTATGTTTCCTACTGTCCAACTGAACCCCAAAAGCACTCCCCAGGGACGTGGAAGTTTTGGGATATGAAACTTCCATCACATTAACATGGCAGTTGGTCGGGCAGAAATCACTGCTGTGTAGAGGGGATATTTTTGACTTGGCTTGTTTAAATGTGGGCCAGGCTCTATTCTTTAGTACACGAGAAAACTGTAAAATTAAAAAGAATTAAAAAGAAGTTGAACACACAATGATAACTCAAGCATTTCATTTTGTTTACCCACAGTATAAACAGCAGAAATCAAAAGAACATTAAATAATTCCAACAAAAAAAGAGTGAAACTGTAAATTCCTAGGAATAAAGTTGATACTTTAAAATCCATACATTCTCAGTATCTGTATTGCAATCCATAATGTCTAAAAGTGGAGGGAGAATATGGGGGTGTGGGGGGGGGATTGTCTGCCATAAAGGCAGGAGAAGGATTGAGATGGGTTGTGGAGTGTAAAGAAATACTGGGGACATTGGTGGTAGAAAATGTGCACTGATGGAGAGATGGGTGTTTGATCATTGTATGACTGAAACTCAAACATGAAAACTTTGTAAATGTAAATCTTACGGTGATTTAAAAAAAATTTTTTTAATCCATACATTCTTAAGTACACAAAGTAATATGGCCAGTAAGTACACGTGATTGCTTTGAAATTCTGATTAGGTCTTAAAAGAAATAAATTTCAGTGACCTCTACCACTTATTAAGCTGTGTGCTTGTTTATAGAGCCCAAGATAGACAGCAGCTGCAACATCATAGAGTTTGTAACAAGTTTGTTTCTTTGTAACAAGAAAGAGCAATAAGACTTTGTTTCATATTATAGGGAGACTTCATAACACAGAGCCAGAAAAAGGAACCCAGAGAAGGGTTCAGAGAAGACTTAATAATTCCATAGTACTTGAAAATGAAAAGGAATAGGTTTGGGGAGGAGGGAAGACAACAATTTAGCAACAGTGAATAGCAGGTGCAAAGATGCAGAATGCGTAGAGGGTACATAAGAGGGAGTGAGGGGGAAAGTTGAGATAAGTGATTAAACAGGTGCCAGTCAGATGTTGTGTGAAGGGGTTCAATACATAGGACAGGGGGGCGTGTCACAAGAAGAAAACGAGGCTGGAAGAGGGTCACAGTGGGATAATTTGAAGATCACTGGTAGAGAGTGCATTGCAACCCCATGTAGATTCCTGCAAATGAATATGGGGGTCACTTTAAAATAAACGGTTATGATTTATTATTATTATTAAACATTTTATTACATGCCTATTTTGTGTATTTACATCATCAGAGTTGATTAAAAATTTTGTGGGTAAAAAAGGGTGCATAGAAAAAAATTATCTGCTCTGATATAGACCAGGACAAGTATTAGATAGATTTTAATAGGAATTCATTACAAGATTTTAAGAAGTACAGTGACTGATTTTAAAGGCATACATATCTCCTGAATATGACCTTACTTTGAAAAATAGGAAGCCACAACTGACTTAGACTGATCTTGAATCAAATGTTTGTCTTTGGTTGCTGATAGCACAGTTGATTATTCTGGGTTCAATGCTGTCTGATTGTTTCTATATTGGTGTATTAGGACACCGATTACACTATCTGTTAGCTGCTAAGAACACTGGATTCTCTTAACAGCTCTAATTAGGATGGGGATATAGTACAGTGGTTCAGGTGCACCCTTTTCCTGGCCCAAACAGAGTGGGATCCTGAACATCGCACATTCCCTGAGCATTGCAGAGTAAGGGCCCGAAGGCCATCAAGCATCTCTGTGGTGATCCAGGGGGTGCCCGAACCCAGCGCCCCAGAAGCACTGCGGCACCCTGAGATCCTGCACCAAACCTTCAGGTCCAGGGGGCCAAAAGCAGCGAGGGGAGGGGAGGGTCCATGCTCCTGGCCATTATCTCTCGGAGAGAACAAAAACAAAGAAGAAAAGATAACCCTCATTATATCCTACTAGTATTGTGGTAAATTTTGGCTGCTGAGAAAAATAAAACTTAAGACTATTACCAATTACTGTCTAGTTTTTCTAGGTTGACTTCTAGAAGAATGATTGTTAACGAAATCACAGTATAAACATATGCATGCTATTAGAATATGAGCTTCCTGTGAGTGAAAGAAAACTCTGTTTTGAAATAGAAGCTCTGCGGCTGAGCCCAGTGCTAGCACACTGTAGGAATATAAATAGAACTAAATTGAAATGCAGAAAACTACTGAAACATTATTAACAAATATGATAATGGTGTATAGAGAAAATAATCTAAATACCTAAAGAGAATAAGGAATTTAGAAAATTCACAGTATAACCTTTTGTATTACTAATAAAGAAACTAGAAACTTGCCTTGCACACGACCAACATGGGTTTGATCCTTACCACCCCATATGGTCCTTCAAGTCCCACCAGGAATGATCCCTGACTGAAGAGCCAGGAGTAAGACCTGAGCACTGCAGGGTGTGGGCCAATACCCACTCATGCCCCCCTCCCCGCCCCTCCACACACACATGCACATGCACATACACACATACACACAAACATGGGGGGGGGGAGGGAGAAGAAAAAAAAACCAAACCAAAAAACTTTAAAAGTCTTATCAGGATAATTTAGGATAATACCTAAAATTAAGGCCAGCTGTAAATTTTTAGTCAGAAGTTTTTTTCACTGTAGTTCCAAGATAAATATCTCAGATAAGGTTTTCAAGACACAACATATGCACAGAAATCAATTCTGTTTGTCAGAGCATCTACCATAATAGGCAATTATCTTTTGTTTTTCTTCATTTAAACCAATTATTCATTCCCTCAGAGCATAAAGAGAATCATCTATTCCAGACCTTGTGCTAAATCCTGGAAATACCACTCTTACTCTCCTGAGGATCATGGTCTACTAGGCACTAGAGATAAAACAATATTATACCACTATTGTAAATATAATTATTTTATTATAGTTATAAGGAACACATATGTATAAATATATATAGATATGGCTAAAGCAACATATAATTGATAATTATCCTAATGGCTGGAAATTTGACAAGCATCAAGAGGAAAGCAAGTAAAGTGATGAACCAAAGTATTACCAGAATGATGGAGAAGAGTAGGGGAAAGATTCCCCACCAAGGGGACTATGTGCACATCATGCATCTCAATCCAAATGCCACTGAACTGCATGTCCCACTCCCCATACATTCAGAAGGAAGGAGTAACCATTCCTTTTTTCAAAAGTAGGCATTGGGGAGCTTCTTTGCTAAACCCTCTCTTGAGAAGGAAAAGCCCTTTTAAACCAATGCTGCCTTCTGTCCTGGGATGGTGTTCCTAATAAACAAAATGAGCAGTAAGAAGATCCCAAGGCATGGACCCTGGAAATGTACAGGACACATTTTGAGATTTTAAAAAATGTGTTGTCAGACAACAAGCTCCAATATTTCATTGAGAGCTTCCTGGAATGAAAATCTTAACCAAGGAAATTTAAGGTATGGGGTATCTGCACTGACCACAATAGTACTAAGTGGTCCTATAATAGTGAACCTGTCATCTTTTGAACAACATCAAATAGAACAGTGATCTCATTAACCTGCCTTTGAGAAAATCACCAGGGAAGTTAAAAAGTTCTTTTCTAAAAATAAAAATGGCAGTATTGCAGCAGAGAAACATGCAGAGTGTAGGAAAAAGTGAGCTTAGGTGGAAAATGTTTTAGATCTATGATGGATGGCATAACAAAAACTTACTACACCTTTATTTATTTGTCAAATACTTCAATAAAAATGTGGGAATCCCTACGAGGCACTGTTCTAGGTATGTTATGAAGCACCAGTGGAAGAAACAAAAATTCTGATGTTCTAGGAGGTGCCATTTTCAGGAAGGGATAAAGGTAAAAGGTAAAGGCCCTCCCGTTGATCGTCGATTTGCTCGAGCGGGCCCAGTAACGTCTCCATTGGAGACTTTGTTGTTACTGTGTCTGGCATATCGAATACTCTCGGTAGCTTGCCGGGCTCTCCAAGAGGGGCGGAGGAATCGAACTCGGGTCGGCCATGTTGGCCGCTTGTAAGGCGAACGCCCTACCGCTGTGCTATTGCTCCAGCCCGCTGTGCTATTGAGGAAGCAATAATTCAATGAATTAATTGTATTACAGCAGAAGGTAATAAGTGCTTTTAGATGTGACCCTGCTTTTTAAAAAGGCACCATGACCAGAACCCAACTTGAATGCTGAAGAGAATAAAAGATAAGTAATTAGTTAGGTAGGTATAAGTACAAATGTCAGGTACAGAGAGGAGGGATAGGCAGAGAGAAGTATGGGGTTTTTCTAGGAGAAGAGAGAAATGGAACAGTGGGTACCATGGATCACAGGAATTTGAACTTTTGATATCAAGTATATCTCTACACTGACTAGACAGCAATAAAATCTATCTAAATTTTCAAAATTCATGCTTTTTAACCAAGACAACATATTTAAATCTATTGACAGGTACTTGACAAAAATAAAAAGTAATAGACAATTTGTTGCTTTGCAGATACATCTCCCTTTTCAAGAAGGTGCTAAAGTCCATAGACATGGAGTTATAAAAGCTTTTCATGGAGGATAGGGCTTGGGGAGAAACTTTACAATGTTGCTAATTAAATAATTTATTTGGAGGATAGTGCAGCATTCAGAACTGAATATAGGAACCAGAGCAGTAGTGTAAAGGAAAGAATGCATGCTTTGCATGTGGCTGACCCAGGTTCAATCCCCAGCTTCCCTTAGGATCCCAGGAGCCTGCCAGGAGTGATCTCTAAGCACAGAGCTAGAAGCAAGCACTGAGCACTGCCAGGTGTGGCCCCCAAACAAAACAAACAAACAAAACCAAAAAATCCAGTGTACTTGGACTATTTGAAGTAAAACTCTCCTACATGCAACATTTTTGTGTGCAAACAGGAACTAGGACATGAAAGCTCATTAAATATTTATATCGAGGAAACATCCTGAAAATCCAAAATAAGCACAAGTAGGAAATTATTCTAATAGAGAAGAATGAATGTAGAATTTAAGAGAGTTCTAAGGGCAATTTAGGGTGAGAAAGTTCCTCCAAACAGCACATAGCTTCACATCCGGCGCCCCAATACATCCAGCTCCACAGAGAATGAATGCCTGCTTAGGATTCATTCTGTCTCACTGAAGAATCTGGACTTCTC